GCCCAGCGAGGGGGGCTCCTGCGGTGGGAGGGCGGCCCGTAGGCGCTGCCTGGGCTGCTGAGGGGCGGGAGTGTGGCCCTGAGAATGGGGGGCCGGCTCTCCCTTCTTCTCCATTTACCTTTTCTCCCCGTGCCGCCAAAACGCGCGCGGGGCCGCTGGCAGCAGTGGCGGGCCGGGCCGTGGCTCGGGGCTTTCGAGGGGGAAGCTGGAGCCCGGCTCTGGCAGCGGGAGGTAGTAAGGCAGATGGAGGAGCACGCCCCTTGCTCTTAAGTGTGCAGCCTGCCTCAGAGCAGCTCTCCATCCCTGGCTGGGATGCTGCGTGTGATCTTGTCCCACCTCAAGTGAGCCGAGAGCTTTACAAGGCTTTGGTGTCGCTAACCTATCAGAGGGGTGTGCTCCCTGCAAAACTGGGAGCCTCTCTCTGTAAAGATTTTTAGGAAGAAATCTCATTCTTCCAGCAAAACATACAGTTGCATATGGCGTAAACTTACGGTGCAGCGTGAATTGCACTCAGCTGAGCACGTCCTGGGGCACATCCCGATGCTCTGCTTCCTCTTGTGTTGTAGTTCTATCTGAACAATAAAAACATACCCACCTAGCAACTGTAAAAGGAGAAACATACTGTTTTAACGTTTGGTATAAATGTAATAACTTAAGTTTTACTCTTTTATTAATCCATAGATAATGAACGTGGATTAGAAAGGATATGTCCTTACTGCTTCCAGTTCCTGGTTCCTGATAGCTGTCGGGTGCGTCTCAAACCAAAGATGAAAGTGACTCCGCAGATAGAGAAGGTTCTGAAACAAGAGGCGAAGAAGCGTAAACTTAATATGAAACAGACCAAGCTTCTGAAAAAGTACAGGGAGTCGAGGAGTGTTCTGGTAAGGGTATTTACTTGAAAAGGCCAAATACGTGATGTTTCCCTGAAACCTTTAAGTGGCATAAAAAAGGAGATATGGAAATCTTTCTCCTAGAAATGGAGCTCACACCTACACATTTCTGGTTTTTTCATAAGCTCTCCCTCTTTCTTTTGGGATAACTTCCGTTCACGATCAAAATTTTTAAAACCTGACTTCCACCATAGATCATAAGCGCACTGACAAGAACAAAGCTTCTCCCCCCAAGAATACCCCAGCCCCACATCAGAGAAGCTACGCAGACAGCTCTGCCCTCCCCATCATTTCTTGCTCTTTGGCAGCAGTCTGGGTAGGCTCTGCAGATGTCTAAGAACTTGCTGGAAGTTACGTATCTCTGCCTGCCAGGAAGCTCTGGCATTTCCACCATCAGCTGCAGTACCTTTGGCATAGTTTTGCAGAAATGGCAGGAGCCCCAGATTTTTGCCCGTTATTTTTTTCCTGTGAATGTGGTAGAACTAGGACCAGGCAACTCTGCTAGATGCAGAGCCTTAATACAGCCGTGTAGATCCTAAAATGGATTAGAATCCGTAGAAATCCATTGCTAAGAATACCTCAAGACATACCTAGGAAGAAAAGCATGCCGTTGGCTGAGGTCAGGCTGGTTTTGCCTGTGTGCGTAGCTTGACATTTACTGCCTTAGCTTCAGCTGGGAAGAAGAGCTTGAGGTTGTCAGTTTTTCAGTTTCATCAGCTGTCTAAAACCATTTAAAATTCACAAGCTTCATTTATCTCCGTATAGCATCGTGGCTACCTCACATTATTGTTACCTTCTGTGCGAATCGGATTTTTTAGTTGTCTGAATGTTACTGTGGATGGGAAAGTCTTTCAAAACTAAACCGCGTAGGTGATTTAAACAAGCTAATGCTGCTTTCGGGGCGTCAGTTCTTTTTCCTAAAATTACTCAGGAATGTAAGATTTAATCACTGGTTTTTATAATGATTGCTGTTATTTGAAGAATAGTAGCGTACAATCTGGTGTTGCCAAGGCATACACTACTGCTAAAACAGGTTATGTGAACGGATGTTTTAACAAACAGCACCCTGTCATGCCCAGCAGTTGCTGGCACACTTGGCATTTTCTTAGATGGGAAGATGCTGGTTTGGGGAGTAAAATTTCCAAAACCGAAAACTATGAGAGAGTCAGTAACACAAAATTAAAGTGAGGAGATATGGCAGTTTCTCAGCTGTCAGGAAAAAAAAAAAAAAAAGGCACTCCATATTTGGAGAGAGTAATAGCAAATGGTAGATCATATTTGAGCAGCAGAAAGGGTATCTGGGAAGCTGGAATCTTTGCTTCATTATTCTGGGATCTCAAACCTGTGGCTTACATTAAGAACCGTCTCTTTTGACAACTGGTGACACATCCTGTGGAATTAGGATGGGTTCTTAGATTTATGCTGCAGCTGGAGATGTTCGTAGGATGCACTGTGCATTCGTATGAGTAGTTTAAAGTTCAGTTTTAAATAGGTCCAGTTTGAACTCTGGGTAATACTCTGATCTTGGGATGAAATTACAGTTTGCAGCACTTGTGTTCTGCTGGGTTCTGTTGGCGTTTGTGCGGTGGATTGTGATTTAAGTATTTCTGGTGTTAAGTATTTAAAATACTGTCAGGAACTGACAGCTTTTAAAATTAGCAATGTAGATCCCTATAATCTAATACCTGAGACTTGTGAAAATGAAAATTTGAGCGTGGTTGAAAATTACACCAAGCACCAATGTGACAGGTTGTGCCTCTGATAACCTGTCTTAGCAGGCAGAACTTAATTTGAGAATGCTTCTGCCAGGAAAAGGCATAGGAAGTATTTCAGGGGTTTGAAATTTTAGGAGCTAACTGTAGATGTGGTTCAGGGCATGGAAACTAGTTGGGCAGCGCTAGTTCCTGCACGGCAAGGTGTTCACCTCCATTTATATTCCATGGAGTGTTAAATCGTCATGTGATGCAGGTTTGGTTTTTTTTTCCTCCCATCTGAATTTCATTTAGAAGAACTGAAACAACATCAATACCTGAGCTGTGCAAGTTAATGATCTTTCTCTTTTTTAGTTTGTTAGGCTGACAAAATAAAATCTAGAGACAGTCAAAACACTTAGCTGAAAACGTTTTACTTTGGTGTTTCTAAATGTAGTTCTTTCTAAGCAATCTGAATTCAGGCAGATTTACACGCTGCGAAATGAAGAACAATTTGGTATAAATGTTTTCAAAATGGCTTAGACATTTTTGTGACAGTCTTTTGAGCGTGGTTTGTTTTTTTTTTTAACCAGAAAGATCACGTAACGGTGTTTTGGTTTTTTTTCAGTCAGTGTAATTGTGTGCCTCAAAAAGTTGTCTGGCTATATTACTCGTATCTCTTGTTGAGGGTAGTTGCCATGGCAGTCGGGGATATTAGGAATATGTGACAGCCTCTGTGACTGTCTGACATCATCTGTTCTGACGCACCTCTGCAACATACCGTGCTGCTGGCAGTTCCCTGCCGCCTAAAGTCAGCAGATAGAAGAGAAAGTGCCCTTTGTTTAGAACCTCCTCCGTGTTGTAGTGAGTAGTTGTGGACTAACAGAAAGGCTTTTCTTTGTTCATTAAGACTTGCTGTTATAGGTGACTATTTTTTGAGAGTTGGGTGATTTCAAGACTCCTGGGAAGTGTGTAATAGAACTTCATTGGGGTAGAATATGCTAATGAATTTAGATCACACTGTATGTCGTGTTTTTTAGCAAAATACCCCTGATGCGTACTCAAAATACCATGTGTCCAGTTCAGATGTTTTCCATGTTTCACTCTACGAGGTTACACTTGGAATTACGGGTCTCCTTAAATTAGTTGCTAGGAGATTGGAGTTGTTTCTGGATAAACGCACAGCATGTGTTTGGCTTGAGAAGCCTGAATGAAAATACTAGGTGTAAAGCTTATGTTGCTTTTTATTATCTCATGTTTCACTTACACTTGATTTGTGTCATGATATTTGAAGAATAGTTTGGATAATCCTTACAGTGGCTTTATATAACATAAAGGGGGAAACTTTGTTTCTTCTCTCTGTAGTTGGTTACCTGCAACTCATGCAACAAAACAACACGACATTATGGTAAAAGCAGGGAATTTCTGACTACCAGGACACACAATTCTGGCACTCCAAGCAGTGTATCTAGCCTGAGGACACCAGACGGAAACAATCGGTCTGCAAGCAAAGTGACGCCTGCAAGCTGCAGTAGGTTGGGATCTAAAGGGAACAGTCCCTCATCACTTCCCAGGTATGTGTTTCCTAAAGAGGCACTTTGCCAAGTAGAGTGTATGGCGTCTTGCTGGGAAAAGGTGTCGTGCACTGATTTCAGATCAATCACTTAATAAACTTGAACTGGATAATTGTTTTTCATTAGTGGTCTGACTAAGAGGATCAATCTTAACTTTCCAACCTTTAAAATCAAAGGTTCTGATGAAAAGCAACTGTGTGCAAAGAATGCCTAATCGTGATTTTTGTCATTAAATGTGAAATGTCTGGCTTAACATTTCCATAAAACGTTATGCTTCTGACTGCTCCCTTTCACACGAAAATACACTATTTCTGGTCAAAAATTTTCACGTTAACTTGATGTTAATTCCAATTCCTCACCTTTAAGACATTGGCGTCTTTTTGTTTTTCAGAACACGTGCATCCGGGCAGGCGACAACCAGCTCTGCTTCCAAGACTCCCCGAAACTCCAAATTCCACTTTTCTAAGTTAAAAAGGATGCTTAACCTAGAAGAAAAAGAGAAAAGCCAGAAGGCAGATTTGAAAACCTTCCTGACTCTGCTTTAGTTTTACATTATAGTAACAAAGATTACAGCAACAAGTGCTGTCTCAGTTTTAGTAAATCCAAGTTAGTGATTTCTGTAAAACTCAAGCTAGCAGTGTGTACCCTGGGAAAGCACAGGCCGTATTTTTTAGAAGCAAGATGTTTGTCTAAAGGGACTGGTTATCCGCAAGAGGTAGGTGAGAAAATAGCCAGTCCTTTATGCTTGGGAATCTGGAACGTGCTTTGCAGTCGCTAGCGGCCCAAGAGTTGAAAGTGAGGATCCGACCTTGGAGGAAGCCGATAATACCGGACCAGTCAGTGGGTCCCACAGGACCAACGGATAGCTTGGCAGAGCTGACAGCAGATTGGGGTTGGGGAGGTTACCGTTTGCTCCACCTCACTCTCCCACTATTTTTAAGATCACGCATCACAACAGAATTTAACAGATCTCATCCCTGTTTTGCATGTTTGAGTAAAACGGACACTTCCACTGGCACTCCCTGCAGGTTCGTTATTTTCAAGGATCCAACGTGAAGTCCTGTCGTGTCGCTGTCTTTTGGTACCTGTGGTAATTTAAGCACAGCCTTTACCAAGGTTCCAAAATAACTTACTCTTTCAGACAGTGCTCATATACAAAGAGAGAAAAAACCCTGTATCGCCAGATCAGGTTTCTTCTTAAGAATGTTCTCTGTGACTTGGACAGCAGATGATGCTGCTCCCAGGATAACACTGAGCCCTGCCGGACTGTACTCTACTGCGGGATGTGCTCCATACTGGCTGACAGCTCTGTGCTAGACTACTGTTTGTTACTGCTGCAAGCATGGCACAACTATGAAGAACAGAATAGAATTGCAGGATGGTTTGGGTTGGAAGGGACCTTAAAGACCATCTAGTTCCAACCCCCCTGCCATGGGCAGGGACACCTTCCACTAGACCAGGTTGCTCAAAGCCTCATCCAGCCTGGCCTTGAACACTTCCAGGGATGGGGCATCCACAGCTTCTCTGGGCAACCTGTTCCAGTGCCTCACCACCCTCTGCATATGGGATGCTTCCTTCCTAATTGCTCCTGTGCAGCCAAAGTGGGTCACTTCTGTCTTGTTCAGAAATGGGTACAGAGGGAACCTCTTTTTTAAACGTCGTTCAGTTTTGTCAGGCATCAGGCCTTCAGAGTTTCCTCCTTCCTGGATTTCAGTGTGGAAAACTAGGTTTGCCCTGGACAGTAGTCAGCTCGTTGCACCGGCACATTTTGGGAAGAGCAGACAGTTGCCAAGGTTAAGGCGGTCTCCGCTGTCGGTCTCCGCTGTCAGATTTTTCCATTTCGGTTCAGCTCAGGGGTGAGGAAGGACAGCAGAAAGTCGCCATTCAGGACTGAGTTCATAGCCTGCCCTACGCGCAGCCTGCAGTGACAGTTCTGCAAATCAAAGAGACTCGGTCAGCTAAAACACATTTTAAAGGTCTGTACTTCCCTTTGGTGAACACCGCTTAAGAAATAGGACTGACAGTTCTGCAAATCAAAGAGACTTGGTCAGCTAAAACACATTTAAATCCTTGCTTTTAAAGGTCTGTACTTCCCTTCAGTGAACACCGCTTAAGAAATAGGAGCAGCAAGTTAAGTTGGCAGGCTTGAAAGCAATCCAGGGTGGGGGAGAAGAGTCTGTTGCAAACTCTACTTACGGTCTCACAGATTGGCAGGTAACCTTTGTACCCCTCCTGCACTCGTGTAGGATCGAATGAACCATCACTCCTTGATCAAAATCCGGACTGTGGCGTTACGCCTTTTCCAGTGTAGAACTTGGCATTAATTCACCTGTTGTTGCTGTATTTATGATCCTCTGGAAAAAAATACTTCAGTCTTGTTGATGAAATATGTGTATTATAAAAGTGTTAGAAAACCAGGGTTTACAATAAATTTTGTTATTAAAAGTCTGCACACTAGGTTCTCTACTGCTCTGCTTCCTGTGAGGCTGAGGCGAAACCAGCATGGGCACCTGCTCTATTTTCAGATGCACCAACATTACTATTATTATTACTATTCTGTGCTCCAGATATATTACTAGTGCAGTGTAACGTAGACAGTCTCGTCATGCTCCACACAACCCTTTTATTTGTAACTACCAGAGTTATAACAGAATCACAGAATGGAAGAGGTTGGAAGGGACCTCTGGAGCTCACCTAATCCAATCTCCCTGCCAGAGCAGGATCACCAGGAATAGATTCCACCGGAACAAGTCCAGGCAGCTTTAGAAAGTCTCCAGGGAAGGAGACTCCACCCCCTCTCTGGGCAGCCTGTCCCAGTGCTCTGTCACCCTCACAGGGAAGAAGCGTTTCCTCATGGTCAGGTTGAACCTTCCGTTTTCCAGTTTATGGCCATTGCCCCAAGTCCTGTCACTGGACACCACTGAGAAGAGCCTGGCCCCATCCTCCTGACACCCACCCTTTAGATATCGATAAGCATGGATAAGATCCCCCCTCAGCCTCCTCTCCTCCAAGCCAAACAGACCCTGCTCTCTCCAATGTCCACGTGTTGTTACAAGGGATCACTTTCACTAGCTATCAGACTTCACCAAGGGGGGAAAAAAGTTTGAAAGAATCACTGTGTTGAAAAAAGCATTCTATACAGAGACACACAGCTACGCACATACATACCCCCATATGCGCAGCTGCTGCGCTCTTCCCTTCAGAACACCTCCCGTTCCTGTACGCGGTGAAAGGCTGGAGGTTAATCATTGGCTTCAACAGGCTATTGCCGAGCCTCCCCGCCAGACCTCGGCCCCGCCGTGTTACGGGTCGGCCTCTGAGGAGCTGGAAGAACAACCCTATGTAGGGAGGACAACGCCTTCGCTGGGCTCACCCGGAGTTTGCAGGGCAAGAGTGAGCCGGTTCTCCCTTAGGTGTGCACCCCGGTGTACAGGCATTAGCTACAGGGGGAGTTGCTCCCCAGCTCACTCACGCCATGGCGTATGTATCGTTGACAGCAACGGCATCACACCATGCGTCGAAAATGTTACAAAGCGTGGCTTAATATACCCAGTTCAACCACGGCATGTTTTGTTTTGAAACACCAGTTTCGGCCGTTTTCCCGTTTTTGAGAACCGGGGGCCTGAAGCCGGCGTATTACAGCTGGTTCCCTCACACCCACCCCCTGGCTCTGAAGCAGCACAACCTTCAGCCACACGAGACGGCAAATCAACAATATTACTTTCTCAGAAACGTAGTCCTAGAGGTACGAGCTCAGGCGTTTCGATGGTGCCGTGGCCTCATGGAAAACCGTCACTTTATTATCCGGAATACGAATGCAGAGAGGAATGACCTTCAGAATTAGCACTGATCATTTCCTCAGCATCACTGCCGGCTGACTCCTGCGTCAGTTTACACCAAGGCCCTGTCACACCACGAGGCTGAGCGGGCCAGCAATAAACCGTGATTCCGAGGTGTTTTTACAACAATTTTATTCTATTAAATATGAAAGAGCGTACATACAGGTGTTATTCTGAGGACATAAATTACACAAGGATTACATGTTCTGTCAGAAAAGCACAATAATGAAACACCTTTGCATTTCAAGCTGTTCTCGTTAGCTTTTAACAAATGAGTCTAGTTCTGTTGCAAACAAGTTAACGAGTGCTATTGAATGTCTGTAAATTCCCACAAAAACATCATGCTTAGTAGGATACTTTAAATATTGTAAAGATGGAATCAGAATTAGATTTCTAAATAACAAGATGGAAGCGATTTACTACTTAACCAAGATAAATGACACACTGAAGTAGGAGCCGAGACAAAACTGGTCATTCATTAAGAAAAAAATTCCACTTGACTCTGCTTTCTTGACTTGCAGGCATAGTCACTGTGATTATACGCACGAGTAATGAGCAGAACTGGCCCTTAGTATTTATAAAAGTAACCATCAGATTTCAGACATGCTGGTTTTCTGCCTCACGAGTTTTTCCGATGATAAAAGCCCCACGCCCTTGAATCTATTCACTCACATTCCAAAAGGTTGAAATCCAGCTTTTCTGCAGAGGGCCAGTCAAGCTGACGTGTGGCTTCCACGGTCGTCTGCGCAGGGGGCTACTGCATCCTACATACGTATTTTGGGACGCCCTTGAAGTACCAGACCGAGTTACCGCTGCCTCCTGAGAGCAGCACTAGTGCGTGGAAGTCCTAATACATTGTCTTTTTAAACTTCGGGGAAAGAGGAATGTGACTTTATCATAATGGTAGCTCTCGGTTAGAGGGGAATGCAATTTTATCACGATGAAAGCTCTGTGTTCGCCACTCAGACGGCCACGCAGCTAGAACACGCAGCTAGCCTGTAGTTTTGGGTTGTGTTGCTGGGGATTAACTGAGGTGGTTCAGTATATTAAATACAAACGTTACGCTGTGAAACAGACAGGCTGACGGCACTGCAGGCTGCGGGTTTGATTTTCAAAAGCAGCAGTGAAACATAATTTCTAAGAATGGTGATTTTTGTAACTAAGGGCTTCACATTCATTTTTAAAACCAGAGAAAGGGAATAATACTCCTGATGATAGATTTCAAAATGTGTTGCAAAAACACAGCTTGATCCTGCAGGCATTAGAATGTAAAAGCAGTCCCAGCGACCTCCAAGTTAAGTGTTCTCCAAAGGCAAAGAGCTGCAGGATTGTCTCTGCTTTTCTCAGAGAACGCTCAGTAAAAGTGCAACATCCTGAAGCAAATCATCAGATCATCATGGTTTAATTATCAGATAAAAAACATTCGGATGTTTTATAAATTGTGCCTTTTACAGGGTGGGCATTCTGGTGTGAGTTGGGTCCGACCACGTTAGAATGGAGGGGCAGGGCCCACCCCCAAGTTTTCTTTCCCAGGGTGATAACGCCCCGAAGCAGTTCTACCGGGTAACCCCACCTTCAGCCGAAACCGCCCTGCCCAGCGGCACGCGGTGCTTTCTGTTTTGACAAAAGTGGACATTTGGTTTGCTTTTCATTTCCTCAGGCTTGTTCTCCCTTTCAGCTTCAAGGCACCCTTCCTTCCCCCTCCCTCCCCACCCTCTTTTCTTCCTGAGATGTCAGAAGTACGTACGTTAGGCTTTGGAACCTGAGAATTTGGAGGTATTTTTTTTATACTACAGGGCTGCATTTGTATCGTACCATGTTTTAGCTCCTGCGATGCTACTACAGTTACAACACAGACCTTCTAACTAGTTGATACGTGATGCCTTTCCCCTATAAATAAAAAACAAGGTACCATTCAGCCACTGATATCCGACAATTGCTCCAAGAGTGACCTTTACCTTCCCTAAGTCCTCTTTTCCAAACAAATGTCGAGGGATCGTTTCCAAAAACCTAGCTAAGAAATATTCTTTGAAGTAAACAATTTCACAGTGAAATAAAGATATACCCAGAAAATAGCATTCTCTCGAAATTAAAACTTATGTACATCAAGAAGGTGAGATTTACCCTCGTTCTTTCCTCAGTTCTACATTATCTGTAGATAAAGAACATGATCACTAAGAGTTACTACAAGGGAAAACGAGCCTAGTGAAGTCAGTGTCACGTCTTCCTTGATGCTCTTGAGAGATAAGGAAATTCAGCATTCAACTTTATTATTATAAATATTTTTAATTAAGGTAGCCAAAGACCGTTTAAACTTAATTCCCTATGGCTTTGAGTATCCAAGACTTAGATCCGTCAATGCACCTACAAAAGCCATGTTGCTACACTTATAAGCACCTCTGGGTTACGAATCAAATTTTCCAGGGATGAGATTCAGCCGTCAACTCATCATTTATCCTTCTTGGTTTATGACTGGTTTTATAATTCTTAACAGATTAATCTGTTTTCAAATGTATCATAAATTTGGCGCTATCCTTTAGCAAGACTGAGCTTTAACTGCAACTGTAATGCACATACATGCACATACGAATTTACGAGCAGAGTTTAACACACTAGAGGTACTAAAAACATTAAAATTCATTTTCGCATCGAGAATCTATGCCAAAAAGATGCCAATAAGTGTTATTTCATTCTGCATATTAAAGGAAATAAACACTCCTCTGGATTCACTGCAGTGAGCTCTTTTCTCCTACGGAGTGCAAAATTGCCACTCAAAAGCTTGGGGCAGCTAGTGAGCTCTGGTTAACTATTTTCAGCATTTCTATCTGTCAGTTAGAACTTGTGATGAAATTACTGTTCTACATTACATGCTACGGAATGCTATGTGAACAACTTGTATTTTTATCTTTCGGCGTTATTCCCTACCGAACTGAGGTCTAACTCATGGCAACTTCCAAGAGAAAAGAAAGGTAATTGGGCTGAGGTGCTTATGTCCAAGTGTATCTAATTTAAAGATTATTCTCCAGTCACATCCAACAAGTATTCCAGCGATTAGGCCTGCCTGTAGGAGTCAGTAACAAGTGAGAGATCGCTATCGTCAACAATTTCACTCCAGGACTACTTTGAATTGTTGTTTTTGTAGAGGAAGAATAGATTTAAAAAAAAATAAAAATTGCTTTTATGTGAGAAGAAGTGTTAAACTTCTAAACTGTGAACTTAAGTGATGCAAAACAACGCCCGACAAGCGCAAACCCACGCACAAAATGCTATCATAGAATACTCCAACTCAAACACTTGCAGCCCACGTTTTTAAGGTCATCTAAACGCCAAAGGTACAGGTAGGCATTTTTAAAATCACTCAGCAATTACGTACCTAATTCTGACTGACTGAAAAGCCTAAACGTTCTGGCAGTCTCCTAGATGCCTGTCTGTATCTTTAAGTTTTTACGTGAACTTAAGAGCTGGTGCAAGACCTGCAGACAAACACCACATCTGTGCCACACTAAGGACTTCTTTTAAAAAGAGACTTTTGTAAAAAGAGACTTTTGTAAAAACAGACACTTGGCAATAACTTATACACAGGCCTGAACTGTCTCCTCCCACTGCGTGAGAAAAGATGATCAACATCTCAAACTGTTTGCTGGAGCAGGTGGAGACGTGAGGGCTGGAAGCCCATGCTGGCCTCCGGGGTTTCTCAGTGGAAGAGGATGTACAGCACGGCTGTATCATTGTGTTGCTGCATGTATGGACGGTGCATAGCATCGTCAAATTTTAATAATGGACATTTAACGATTGGGACAGTTTAGAGAATGACCTTTCAATTTAATTAAAGCTGTAAAATGGCTTCACATTTCTGGGATTAACCTTTTTAGATGGAGACAGATGTTCCAGAAAGGGATTAGAGTACAAATGAATGGTCCCTCAATTTAGAAACTAAGCAGCTGTAAAAAGAAAGTTACAGTTTTGAAACATAATTAATCTGCTCAATTGTACAGTTTCCTTTGCTGACTTTTAAATGATACTAAAATATTGCAATATTTGAAGTCATTTAAAGATCTGCTCAGTGTAACATGACTTATATTTTCACATAAAAAATTGGTTACTAACATTTACTTCCAAAAAAAACCCCCACCTGTCTTCTCTGGGGAGTGGGTAATTTAAATGTAATGGATAGTAAGATCACTTTTACCATTACATTGAATTGCATCAACCTTCTTGCAAACATACGCTTGTGATTCCCACATTTCAATCCCTCACTAGCAACTGAAATGCCTCAAGTTAGAAGTATGCACTGATTATATGTTGATCTACATTAAATATAGGGTACGTAAGAAAAATCTTAGCATGTTTTTTTACAGGGCACACAACTAAAATCTTTACAAAAGATAAGATAATTATCCATTCTTCAATGTAATAGACACAGATGCCACTTTTATAAATGTACCCTTATATTCACTCGCCAATAAAATAGTAAATAAATCAACTTTTTAAACAATTTTTAATAAATTATTAGAGTATTTTTACTGACACTCTCCAACAATATACAAAAATAAGACTACAAGAGTACCATTCAGTCTGACCTACCCCCTCATTTCACAGAAAAGTAGAGGTTATGGAAGGATGTTCTTGTAATCAATCATCACTGTAGATGTCTCCTGCAAATGGCAGGTGTACGTGGCTGCCCGTGACGTTGGGAAGTCGAGACAGATCAGGCAGGTTCTGGATGCGTGACCTGAGTTCTTTCCGTACTTGGGTCACTCTGGCTAGCTTGCGTTTGTACTCCTGTAATGCAGAAGAATTCACCGTGAGACTCTTGCTAATACCATTCCTACTTATTTACTGCACTTGATGTTTTCTAAAGAAAGTATTCCTTCTGTGAGTTAGATGACTAAACATCCTTTAATGGTTGAGGACCCAGAGAACTCGGTATTCTGGAGGCAGAGGCATCAGCTCTAGCATTTGCCCAGCATCTGACTTCAGAAGCATAGCCATGGGACATTTTTGCTTCAGGTTGTAAGTACATAAATGCTAAACAAGGAAAACAATCCCAGTGACACAGCTACAGGCATTTCTCCATGCGACTAGTAGAATGGGATTGTTCTTAGAAACTGTATTCAGGATAACCAATACACATACTCTACTACCACTCACAGAGTACAAGAGGATAAACTTATTGATGTCAAAGAAGTTACTTTCAGCTCATAACAACCAAATATGACCTAACCAGGCCAGTTGATCAATCATATGTATTTTGTATTAACTTTTTTTAATAAAAACCATCAGTGTGTTTACGGATCTAACGCTGAGTTTTCAGAAACTCCGTCAATCAGGGGGCTTAGGATTTCACGTGGTGTTGGAATACAGGTCAGACAACCCATAATTCATATATCTAATGACTATGAGGCCCTTTTCACATGAGACAATATTATACGAGATAAAACATTTAACACTGTAAACCAGCACACTAGCATATAGCTAGTGCTCACCTATTAAGAATATGAGAAATAACAGAGAAAAACACCAGCTTGTATAAAATGAAAGCAGTTATTCTAAAATGCAGGAAGATTAGAGCACAATTTACAAGAATATTTACATTTCAAAAACTTGGAAACACGTTTCCTTGGAGAGCAGGAGAGACTAAGCATTAGCAGGCAAAGCAGCGCTTCATGAAAACAGACAGTAATAGACAACACATCGAATGCAGATGCTTTATAGGGCGGCTGCAGGTTTTGCTGCTGCCTTGGAACGGCTGCAAATAACAAATAATTAACCTACAACTTGGGTAATCCCCCATGGATAACCAAGCCATGATTATAACCACTTTTAAATAATAGTGGGGGAAAAAAATCTACATCGCCCTACATCATACAAACACTTGAAAGTTCCAGCAGGTATAAAACCACTGTGCAAATGTCTGTAAAAGGTAACAATCATGCTATTTACAAGGTCTAAACATAAGTTTAAACATTTTTCTATACTGTTAATAGCATGGAGTAAAAAGGAAGGCCAATCAAAAGACCTTTTGGTACTAGAACCCAATACCGTAGTACAAATGTTAAATACCTGGGGCGTGATCAAGATTATTGGACAAGGTCCAACACACATAAACCCAAAGTTTGTGCCTATTAGCGGCAGCGTGACCTTCTAACCAAGGGCAGTAAGAGAACCACAAGAAATATTAAATTCTTAATGAGAAGATAATGCATATGGAAAAAAAAAAACCACCAAAAAACCCCAAACACCAAACCTAAATCTTTTTATATAAAGAGAAAAAAAGTGTTCGTGAATTAGGATCAATTCCTCAGTATCATTTACATTTAATAATTAAATATTGCATACAGTTCAGCATCTTATGAGACACTAAGAACAGTAAAAAAAACTACAGAATCCTTGTCAGCAGAACCGTAAACACGTGGTGACCGTGCACAGGGCAAAGTAGTGCTCCTTTTATGATACAGATGACCAAAAGTCTTACACTGCAAGCCCCTTGGTCCTAGAAAACCTCACACTTGCCCCAAATATTCTCTCTGGTGCAAGTGACTTCAAGACGTGGCTATGGAAATAGGGCTGTATCCTGATACTGTATCCTTGAGTAATGCCCAAAGCCCACAAATACTTTACTGTTTCACACCTAATATTACAGCAGCATCCAGAGGCATCAGTGAGCTGCTTCTGTGCAAGAGTCACAGTTACTTGCCAGCCTGCAAAAAGCCAGTAACAGAATATTTCTTGCCCTTTTCACTATCTATTTTAGGCCAGATTGCAGAGACATATTCCTGACTATTATTTTAGGGCACAGATTGGAATGTCAGAAGCAAATACAAGTTTCATTGTTTACTAAAACAATAAATTTGGCATCACACAGCACACTTCAGTTAATTAGAATCAGTTTCCAGAAGCAGGATGGCTGGAGATGGAGTGTTGGGCAAGGAGAAGTTTGAGCAAGCTTGAGGCTAAAAGACCTGGTGTCCGTTGTGAAAGACGTACTGATGTATAGAAGAGGATGAGTGCAACTGTAAGCAGGATGAAAACACTCAAAAGGCCCCAAATCAGTAAAAGTAGTTAACTGTAAAATCATTCCAGCAGTTAATTCTTGTAAATGGTGTTTGAATCGGGTGAATCCCGCTTCACGTTTGTTCTCTGTCAATGACAAATGAGAAGCAGCAAATCAGCACCCCTTCCTAAGCTCAAAGCGTGATGCTAGGCAAGTACGCGCACATCACACTTAGCAGCTATATTCTCTCAAGATTTTACTCCAAAACCTGAAATCTGCCTTAAATTAGGTTGCTAGTTGTTTGACTCCATTGAAATTCCCTCTCGCTAATAAGAAATCATTTCCATAGTAACATCACATTTCTGACATCCAGCATTTCCATACAAATTCTGTCTGAGACTTGTTGCCTAGTGAGTATCAGCTTGATCAGCGTTACTGACAGTAGGTTCCTTTTTCTCTAGAAGGAAAATATTCTCATAAATCTGGTCTCCCACTCAACAGTCGTCTTCGTCTTGCCAACACCTTCAGCATAACACACACACTCAGGGAGTCAAAACTTGTTCCTTGTGCCTTCTCCGAAACAGACACCTCTGAGAACGTTTGTTCATGGTTTTTACTATAAAATTAGAGTAAATTAAAGAATTATGTAAGGTTTTATATTTTGTTATATTACTGATGCAGGAGAAGCTACAGAATGCAATTTTAATGCGATTTTGGTAATCCAAAGCGTATGTGAGATCTGCAACTACAGGTTAGATTGTCCATGACCATCTCCCCCTCCCTCCAAGTAGAAATAGTATTCACCTTATCCAGAACACCTCATTTTCTATGACACTCCCAAAACCATTCTAGAAAACCCTGGAAATGCTTAGTTTTCACGACTGATGAGCAAGTTCAAAAGAGGGCTGATTTTCAAGTACAGTGACTTAGCAGCTTTGAGATGCCTTTAAAGGGGCTGCTTTTCACAGTTTGATTCTATTTAAAATTACTAGTCATTTCTGGAAGGGTTTGCTTATGTATTTTTAAGGATGCTAATGTATTTCTGGCATTACTTCAGTAGTCCTAGACTGTTGGAATACAAGGATCAAGTACTCATTATCAACAATACTTGTAATATGTACAGCCTTTATTATTTTACCGTAATAGCATCCACATGTACCTACAACCTTTGTCCTCAGTGTACATGTTGAGAGTGTGACTAAATTAAAGCAGGGAACTGGCATATCTAGGTGTTACTTCTGATATTGCTGGTCCTTTAGAAATGCTGTATACTATACAAGCAAGTAACAATTTACCCATATTGCTGCTACTTCTAACTGCAGCAATCCTCGTGGTGAATTTCAATTCCATTTTCATTTGGTTGATTTTAAGACATACTTCAAATTGCCTCCGTGTCAATGAGACAAGATTCAAGCTACTTACTTTAAAACAGTTAAGGACAGGCAGAAATATGATGTTTTCTTTTGCTACACTGAGCATAATTTGCATTGCTTGCTACCTATGGAGAACCTTACTCTTGCGATATATAGATAACCTGATGTATAGAATTAAAGTATTTTCAATTTCTTCAGAGGTCTAAGATAACACTAATTTCAAGCAGTGAAATTCTCATAATTCCAGTCATAGAAGTAGGTTTATGAGATAATTAAAACTTATTTTGCTCATTAGAATCCTACTGATTACTACAGTTTCCATTACTTGACAGTGTAGAATATGGATATTTTGTGAAAGCAATGCTAACGACATATGGATTTCACACCTGGATTAATAATAATTCTCTATCAAAAAAGTCCCAAGCAAAAAATACCCAAATAATTTTTGATTAGACACTACAATCGTCATGAACAACAAAAATGTAGGCAGGCCAAACAGGCTGTGCACTGCAGAGGATATTTTCCCTTCCAAATGAAATAGGCAGAAACAGATCTTAATACAGAGTTCCTGCAATTACCACAGAAAGGTGCTACAGCTAGGACAACTTGGAACTTCATGGATATGCTTTCCCTTTACAACATCAACACCACTTTGAACCCTCATCTGATCACTAAGGCTGCAGCATGCATCAAAATACTGGATGGCAAAAAACGTATAGCAAAGCGAAAGAAACAAAGTCCAATTATTTCCAAAGCCAGAATAAAAGGTTTGCAGGAAACAAATATTGAATCTGCACCCTTGTTAGCTACAGAAGGAAAGAGAAAGTAGAAGTCAGTACTCTCAATGCAGAAAAACCAAAACCCAAAAGGCTTAAAAGGCTTTTAAGGTGTTGAGAGCATGTGTGTAAATCAGCATCCGTGGCCTGTATGCACACTGGGTTTAAAACTGAGATTTCTGACTTTCTAAGTCCATTCCAACCTTCTAGTTTCAGGTGCAGGTGTGTCAGAGCTGTGGCACAGAGCAAAGGTTTCTCATGCCTGTGTCCAAAGCACAGAAACCGCTAGAAAACTTCAAAGGCTCGGATGAAGGCAAATGGGATGCGATACCCTGAGGTCTAGATTCTGAAGTTCAGAAATGAGGTATTTGTTTATAAACTCCACCTTGTTAATATCTAATGTCTTACTCCTTCCTTTTTCTGCAAGGAACACTGACAACTAGACTTGGAGGAGTCAGACAGGCCTCACTATCACTCCGGAAAACAGATGAGAAGAGTTTAAAAATTTGGCATGGCTCATGTCCTTCACCAGTATGGTTAGAGGCTCAACCTACTTAGCAGTGCTATGGATGAACAAAACCCTGAAACAACTTGTATTTAAGACACTGAACAGTCTGAACATATCTATATGCATCACAC